AACATTCTTCCCCTCAGCTCCTTTAGCCTACACCCGCGGGCAGAGCGACGATCTCCTTCTTCTCGACACTCCCATCATTCTTCTTGGGGAGTCCGACACTGAGCTTGATGAAATACTTGGTGTTGGGAAAGAGTCGCTGAGGAGGCATGGTGGACTTTCAATGCTGCTTGATCGCCACGAATCTTCATGACACCCTTCGGAGTGGGGAACTTAATCTTCTGACAATAGGATGAATGTACATCCTTCATTGCATGCAACCATGTCCTACCCATGATGGCATTATGGCGAATCAGAGTTTATCACCATGAATTCTATTGGGATTGTAACGACCCCGGCACTAACTATGAGAGTGATCTTCTCAACGGGAAGGGCGCAAGAACCGTTGAAACCTATGGGGGGTCCTTATCGGCTCCAGGTCTTTCTAGGCGAAACCCATCTTGCAAAACAGATTGTCATTCATAACTTCAGACGAGCTACCCGAGTTTATTAGGATCCTCTTGACATCAAACATGTTGACTCGAAGGGTGATTACCAAAGCGTCTTCATGTGGGAGTACTAACCGCCCAAGTTGGCATCGAAAAAATGGATGATCTCAGTGTCAGTCCGCGGTCTTTTAAACGACTACTCCTTAAACCTGCTCTCCACTTTTACTGCTTGTGACACCTTCTCGAAGTCGACTCAGAGGGAATTGTACATCGATTTCTCGACTGTGCAAGCGTGTATGATTTCGATCACAATTGCTACTTCCTAAGGCGCATCGGTTTGTCCTCCTCTGAACCTCTGAGTGGTTTCCTTTCAATGAACTCCCTCAGATACCCGTCTTGGACCAATTGCTCAAGGAAAGACTTGTACACCTTACAATCTTCAGTCAAATGTCCCACATCCCTATGACAAGAACACCGAGAAGTCAAGTCTCTCATTGATGGGTCTCCTTACATTTTGGGAGGGCCATTTAAAGAAAGACTCCCATTTTATCTTATGCAGCATCTTATAGATGAGCTCTTTGAAAATCGTGTTCACTCCTTGGAAGGACAAGCGGCTCGGAGTTGGGGTGGGTGCCCCTCTCCTTGCAGGTGATTCCTTTTACCTTTTTCTAGGTGTTGGGGCCTTATTCTCAGGCATCGTAGACTTTTCTTCCACCCTGACGTACTTGTTTATCCAAGCCATTAGGTCCTTCATGTCTTTCGGGGCCCGCTTAGTAAGTGACCTATACAGGTTGGTGTCTCGGGACAACCCCAAGTGAAACGTTGTTGCCGCCATCACCTCTGTGCATGCACCGACCTTGTTAACTTCCTCCTAGTATCTAATTGCGTACTGCCGAAAGGACTCTCCACCCCTTCGTTTAAGTGTCAGCAATGCGTTGATGTCTTTCAGCCTTTTACTACTGGTAATGAACCGACCACAAAGAGCTCAGTCATTTGCTTCCAAGATCTGATACTTTATGGAGCCAAGTTCTCGTACCATTTCATCGTAGTATCCCCCAAGCTTATGGAAAAGATTTGGCACAATAGTCTTTGATCAGTGTCCTAAATGGACATCAACTGCTTATATTGTCGCACATGGCTCCCGGGATTTGTCCTCTCATCATAAACCTTGAATCGGAGGATGGTGGTGAGCTTCTTTGACATTTCGATCTCTCGAATTTTCTGCATGAACAGGGAGATGATTTGCTCATCCTCGTCTTTATCCCCCTCGGGGTGAGGTGTTCGGCCCTTGGCATCCAAGTGCTTTCGGAGGTCTTCTCGAGACCTCACTTTTTCAGGCCCCCACTCAGTGGACTCTATGGGGGACTCGGTTGTCACGGCACCCCCTAACAGTCCATGGCAGAGATCCCCCGAGATAGGCCCACCCTGTGGTGATCCCACTTCGATCTTTCCTTGATAGTAGGTCTTCCCCAATTTTGTGGACGGTGTTGCTCGATCGTGCGCCCATGCAAGCTCTTCCCAAGAGCATCTAGCCTCGCACCCATGGAATCGCCTCAGCTGAAACTTCAGTCTTCACGCCTGCTGCTCTGCCAACTAGCACTCCCCGATTGCTTGAAGTCATCGAGTCGATCCTGCACCTTGGCATTATCCTTCTCAAGTTCCTTAAGGCGGTTTCCCATCCACTTTTTCACCAACTCAATGATTTTATGAGCCAAAAGGCCTGGCCCCCTAAGGCCTTGATCCACGGGGAACATTCGCTGTGAGGCATGTTTGCCTCCTTCTGACTGGCGTAAAGAGTTTGACTCAATGATTGTTGGGAGCCGAGCAGCTCCTGCGTTTCTCACATGTAAGCTTCCCCTCATCGCTTTGGGATCGTGTGTTCACCATGATGCAATCGCTACGGAAAAAACTCGTATCCTTCCCACAGACGGTGCCAAATTGCATGGGAGATTACTTGCAATGAATAGGAATTGCGATCCTCTTGATGACGAAACTGAAACAACCAAACGAGATTAGGAAAAGGGATGGGTGAACACCTGACTTATTCCTTCTGAATCTTAAGTCAGTAGAAGTTTGGAGGCTTTAACACAATATTTCTATTTTCTCAGTTTGGTTTGCGTACCTTTATTCATGTTTCTAAGGGATATTTATACCTGTATCAGCAATGAGTGCAAAGGTCTAGAGTCTAATCATAACATTTAATCACTTGCACTCTTCTCTACACGTAATGATTGCTCTCTACTCAGATCCACGTGAGTCTTCAATGCTCAGGTGATAGGACAATTGCTCGGGGGCACACCGATCACTTATGTTATCCTTGGGCACTCAAGTTCCTTTGATTGACGCCTGGCGCCTATTTTTCGAATGTTTAACGCTCGGGTTATACTGCCTCGGAGTTTGCCGAGGACATATGATTGGCGCAACAACCATTAATGCTTTGTAATTATGACTGTTAGTTTAGGGCTTTGAGGATGTAGAGGTTCATTAATAGTCTTGTCACAGTCACTCAAGTCCTCATTAATGGGTTGTCTTATCTCTTTAAATGCTGATCCCAGCCCATTCATTCGGCTCCTTTGAGTAGTAACTCCTCTGCATCATATCCCGGCGCCTTTTAAGTTCCATAATGGCTATCACAATCCACGTGTCAATCTGGGGACTGTTGGACCGCCTAAAGTCCCATCAACAACAATTGGGGATCCATTTTGGAGGTTGATTTACCCCCACGCCAGATTGCGCAATGTTTAAAGGCTGATGTCTCTTAGTCTTGGAATTCTATCTAATTTGTTCTATTTTTATTTTCCAATGTAGAGAGAGAGATGCCATTTATTGATTCCCTCGAGTATATTTCTCTTTAATTTCTTATGATAATAGTTCTCTCATTACTCACTGGTTATCTATTCATAATAACTTCTACTTGAACTAATAATAATTATTTTAAATTTGAGAGAAATTATAAAAAAATAGTTTGAGGAGAAGTAGTTTGGCTTTCGAGAGTCAGCGTAACGGTAATATTATTCTGTTATGATTTATGAGTCCCGAGTTGAAATCACAAAATATATATAGTCTCTTCGCACACAAGTATACAACTGCATAAACGATAGTGCATTGTTCAATATTAGTCATCATTTAATGCCATGATATGATAGAAATCTCTCATCATGTCCATTTCTTCTATCTAGCAAATCATGTGTATGCCAAAGTAATAGCGGTTACCTGAAGGCTAGCTAGAAGAACAAGTAGATCCAATCCACACCAATGAGCATCATGCTTCCATGAGCCATCCTCACTTGTTGTAGCATATGATGGGGCTGAGATGTTGAAGATCCTTTGTGAAGAGAAATCCTGGGGGAGAAATGGGAAGTCCCAATTTTGAGTTGAGTTCAAGAATTTTAAGATTTAGCTAAACCTATTCATACCCTTCTCCATCTTCAAAATGCTTGCAACTTCTTTACCTACCCAAAATCGAGCCAACCATGCTGCACTTGAACACGTAAACTTGGGATTGCAACTTTTTTACCTATAAATTCTCTTTCTAACTTGAAGGGGAAAGCGAACATTAAGATACTCTCCATTACATTGTAATTCAATTTCATTCAAAAATAGATCTATCATCGAGTGAAATTGATTAAAAGTGTAATAAAAAAGATCTGGATTCGAAAAACAAACTTTATTTTAGGATGTTTCACGGTGTTAAACCTCTAACCTTTCTGACGAAAACTATCCCACTACAAAGGCCATGTCATTAGACCATAAGCCCCTTTAAACATTGCATTGTAAAAAATGTATCACAGCCTTTACAGAAATGATCATATGAATGGAAAAGAATGACGATGTATCGAATCAGACGTTGAATATAAGGATGAAAACCATGCTTTTGTCTCGGGAACCAAGGTCTATCATTGGAAAACAATTCATTGAGGGCAACATTATTTTCTTCATCTTCTTCTTCTTCGGGCATCGTCTGTGCAAAAAACTTAAATATATGCATTGTCCATATATCTTACCATGAATTTAATCGATTTATCGTCATAGCAGGAAAACCTACCTCAGTTACATATCCATCAAATTATATATATTCCATTTACATTTATATATGTCTCGTGTTAGAACAACACCCAAATAATTCAAGTTAGAAAAATACAAATAATAAAGATAAATGATGATGATGATGATAGTAACAATAAAACCCTAACACTGAAGACTTCAAAATTATAAATATTTAATCTTCTTGTACAGTGTGTGTGTGTGAGAGAGAGAGAGAACTGAACTCAACAATATCATATACGAAAGCATAAACTAACATTTCTGAGAAACAAAAGAGATTAGCATCCGCAAAATTGAGGTCTTGAGAAGCACATGGATTAGAAAGATGAAGTTTATATGCAGCTTTTTGGTAAAACACACCTGATCAACCAAAACCAGTAATCAATTAATCAACCTCAAACTTTCAGAAGTAAGGCTTATGACCAAATTTCATGATGGTAAGCTGATCTTTAGGTCCTTGAGTGAAGATATGGGATAGACAAGTCTATCCTTCCAATTTTTACGCTGTTGCTCTTTGAATTTGTAGTGTCATCAGGAATTAGCCCATAGCATTATCTCTCCTGCAGCTTGCTTGAATATTTCTTCCACTGGAAATGCTTCAGGGATTTGGTCAGGAGCTTCACTTGCCTGATTAATATGATAAGAACAAAATTTAAGTAACATGTTAGGCTATAGGACTTACAAAGTACTAACTAACATTGTTTCTTATCTTTAATTCTCTCACTTGAAAAAGACATGAATTCATATCTGTCTCCCTCTGTGTCCCTCAAATTGTAACCCAAATAGTAACTTCAATTTTCCTTGAAAACTGTCATATTTTCATGCTCTTTTTTAACAACACATGTATGTCTTTTAAACAACGTAATACATATAACATAGGAATCATGTGTGCCTACGTAGTGCCTAATGATTATATATTAGTCTCGAGTCTCGACACAATTTCTCATATGCTTCGCGTATGTCTGAGCAACTGTTAATGGTTAATGTGCCTCGGCTTTTAGTAATGATTATAGTTAGTAATGCCATATTTCAAATAATTACCTGTTAATTTAAAATAGCACAAGTATATCTTTGAAATGGAAAATATGTGTTCACACACTTCTCGTGTGTGTGTGAATGGGAAGCTAGTAATAATTAAACATATTAATGGCATATTCTGGAAAATTGTCTGTTATGTTTAAATGCTCATCCACTATAGTAATTCATTACGGATTCGAGGCCCTGAGAATAAAATTCTCCAAAATAAGAGTAAGATTAACTTACACTTATCTCTCAGATACCTTGCAATAGAGGGAGCCTTGCAACATATTAATGGCATGAAGTTTGATTTTTCACCGGTTATGTTTGGCGTTTAAATCTTGGTTAGATAGGCCACAAATCTGTATTTCTTTACAAATTAGAAACCCTAGCGCTTCAATAAGTTTGGGGTTCATCATATAACATTTGCACACAATTTGCTTATGTTCAAGTTCATCCAAAACACATTAGGGCAGCAGTAGTTTTGACATTAAGAAATAGAATCTATGAATAATAAACAACACATGGTAGTAAAAAGTGTTTGATGAAGAAAGATAATTAATAAACAGACTTACATGAGCTTGAATCATGAACATACTCCTAGTCTGATCTGATGAAACATGAGCTGATACCACCTCTAGCTTGTGCTTGTCCAACACATAGCAGATGGTGCTCAAGAGCCCAGGCTTCTTTGGAGAACACACACTAATGTGTGCATCTTCACCACAGACATTCAAGATGACATTGGGAGAAGTCCATGTCTGAAAAATGGTTGGAAATCGAGGGATCAAACGTGAGTTGGATGAGTTTCTTGCAGTGATGAACAAGTTACTTGAAGATCCTTGATCAGCCAAGAATGCTTCCCTCGAGTCCGTGGCTATCTTTTGTGGGGTGATTATAGAGGGATCATAGTTGAGGCTTGTTACACCTTGGAGCCTTTCTAGCTTCTGTTTTTGAAGCTTCTGCAGTCTGTGTTGTAGGATTTTTATGTAGTTCACAGCTTCATCAACAATGGTGGACTTGTCAGCCTGCATAAACTTGAGCATGTATAGATGTGAGAAAAAAGATTGAAATCATAGGTTTCTATTGTGACTAAGCCATTAAGTGTTAGTGGCACAAAATCAATTCTTTCGCATACAGTGCATACGCTTACCTTTCCATAATCTCGCAGTGGTGAAAATCTCGTACACTGGTGTGCAGCATCAAAAATTGTCAACAATTTTTATTGTACTACAAACTAGTGTTTGTCCAAAAAATAAAAAAACCAACTACAATTCAAAAAACCTTAACTTGGAGTTGATTAGAAGATCTTAAGTTCGAAATACTTCCATTGTCAATCTTTTAATAAATCTTCTGCAGGACTGCATCATCGGTGTAATCCATATGTACCCGGATTCATGTCGAAATCAAATGGAAATTCTGAAAAAAAATAAAAGAAAAAGGGGAAGCCAATGAGGCTTGAAAGGGGTGAAATCTGAAGTTTCTCTTAGTGTTTACACCAGTATAACCTTCGTAAAATGGTGTGTTTTATTTCTCTTTTTGGACAAAAAAAAGTGTTAGTAGTAGGTACATCCTCTTTGCCATGAATACCCTATAAAAGAAGGATTTTCAAACCTTTACAAAGGCAATGGTGATCTAAGTTGGATTCTTGGTATCTATAGAGAACCAGGTTGTCAGTGATTTGGATCAGAAGATTCTCCTCAGATATACTCGATTTAGAAAGGCAATCAATAACAAGAACATGAAAAGGACCAACTTTCCATGAAGAGATCCGATGAAAAGCTCAAAAAACATGGTTTATATGTCACAAAAGGTACCTTTCAATCCCTTTCTTCTATAGAAATAACTAATGGCTTGATGTCTATCAAAACTCTGTGTGTGTGTGTGTGTTTGTGTGAGAGAGAGAGAGAAGAAGCTAGGGAAAAGTAAAGGTAACCCTAGCATGAACAAGTACACAATTTCCATCAACCTCTCAATCTTGAAGAAGCTGGTTGTGAATTACCTTTGGAGGAAGTTGAGGAAGCAAATCATGAAGATTAGAAAACATGGTCCTCATCTTCTTCCTCCTTTCTCTCTCTGTCCATATATGTATCTCATGATCAGAGTCACCACCGCCGCCGCCACCAACACTTTTCCCTTCATTCATCTCACTTCTTCCCTTCCCACTCCTCTTCTTACCAGACACTGCAACCGGTTCATTAGTCCCTGGCGGTGTCTGGCTATTAGAAGTACTCAAATCCGGCAACTTTTTGCTGGATTTTTCCTCACTACCACCCAAGTTATCCCAATTCGAGAAAGCCTGGCTTTCCCATAAGAAGCTTTCATGACAAACCCCTTCAGACATAGCTAAAAGAAAGAGAGACAAAATAAAATTTCTATGAAAATATATATAGGAGAGAGAGAGGAAGAGGAGAGAGAAAGTGTTTAAAGCAAGGAGGGAGGGAGGGAGGTAGGGTTAGAAGATGGAGGTGATTAAAAAGGTGGGAAAGGATTGAGGTGTAAGATCAGTTGATTCGCTGGGCTAAGGAAGAAACCAAAATACAATCATAAGCCAAAATGCCGTTACTGGCTTCAAAACAAAAACGGTAGCTAAAGTTCACTGTACAAATAAAAATTCGCATTGGAGAAGGTCCCACTAGGATCATGATGGACCGTCGTATAAGTTA